ACCTAGTTAATCTCGTGACAATGCAATACTGAGGAAATAATAATATTGATAGTCGGGCGGAGTCGAAGCCGATTGACAATAGAGCCCCTTATATGCCAAGTGATCTAACAATGAGTGGCATGCAAAAGAATAACGTTTCTGTGAAAAATATCGCTGCCGTTGACGGTAATAAAGTTTTGTTCGTACGCGTATAACCATTGGATTTGAAATTAACTCGTCTGTTCATCACTCGGTACTGGATGGAGCAACGATACCGAAAATTATTTATTAAATTTAAAAAACGGCATCGCGGTATCAAACGTCGGTCTTTCTCCAGTAAATCCACTGTACAATGTAACCTTTTAATTTGATATAAGTATAATGTGCAATATTTGGGAATCACCTCTACAACTATTGTGTTTAGTATCATTTTGACATGAACTAGTTTGTCTCTGGCGGATAGATAGAGATAAAAATTATAATGGAGATGTTCGTGGGTCATCTTTGTTCGGAAACGATTAAGTAGTAGAAATAATGTGTATCCAAACGGATTATATAGTGAATCCACGTCTCTGGTCGAAGAACTTTTGACGTTATTCTGGTCAAACGAATAAAAGACAATTTTTAAAAAAAACATAAACTAGAACGTTTCGTCGCAGGTAGTAAACGGTCCTTCCTTCAGCGAATCTCCAGGAGAGAACTGGGGCGCCGCACGACGGGTGCCTAGGAGAACAATGCCGGCGCACCGCTGCATTGTGCAAGCCGCCAAAACCGTGTAAATGGTCGTTAAGTCGACGTGTGGCGACAATAATAATTAGTAACAAGACGCCTGAGAAAAACACATCTTGCGGGCCGCATAGAAAAATATAACCGGAGCTGTGGAAACAATGATAATCAGATATTGCGCAATCGTTTACGGAATATATCGAGATAATTGTAAATAAAGATTCGGTATTGTAACGTGCCATGGCGTATACCTAAGTACGGGCGCCATGCTCGACAGTCACCTTCAGCCGTTGCGCCACGAGCTGGGATAGAAATTAAAAAGTAACATTCAATTACCTCTCGTTCGAGAAACATCAAACGTGTAGTATTATTGTGCTCACGTATGCGTGTAACCCCCCGTAATATATAAATGTACAAGGTGATCCATATAACGTAAGACGCTAAATTTGTTGGAAAATAAATAAAACTCGTAGTTTTTCTTTTTGAAGACGTTTTTGTTTATGTTATTTTACAATATTACAAAATTACGATATATTAACTTGTTTAGATAATTTCTAGAGCGCGATCAGCTCTTGAAACTTAAACGGTAACGTATATATTTAATTAACTTTATAAAATAAGAACAGTATTCTGTAAACAATTTTACTAGTCGATAATCAGTTTTGAATAATTATTTTTAAGTTATTATAAAGGTGTTATAGAGTTTAAAATTTAGGACTGAAGGTGGAGCGCGGCTTATTAATACGCGCATGACTACAAATAATACTTAACCCACCCTCCATCTTGTCTTAAACTATAAAAACTTTTAGAGTAACTATTTAAAACTGGTTATCGATAGTCAAGATTTTCACCAAATTATTCTTATTTTAGAAAGTTAAATAAATGCAAATACGCTACTTTTTAAGTTTTAAAAGTAAATAACGCTCTTGATATCCACCCTGTATATAAAATGTAATTTCTGGTAAAATACTTTATACCTACACACCTGCCGAATTAAAGTTGATTCATCGGAAATACCGACCGGCGCGGCGGAGAGAAAGTGTGTGTGTGAGCCATATCGGATTAAAGTGTTTTTTTCAATAAAAGTAAATATTATATAAACGAGATGACTAAAATGGCGTCCCTGACCGGTAATCAAATATATAGTATATTATTTAGTAATAATATATATATATATATATATGTGTCATTGTGTTGTCTAAATAAAAAACTCTATAGTATGCATTATGATATTAAATGTGGACTCGGTCTACTCGGATTACAACAAAATTATTTGTAAGTAATCATTATTTTTTTTTTTAACGACTTACAACTCCGGAAACAATATAATAATAATATATTCAACGCCTAATGTATAACTGTCGTCGTAAAATGAGACATCGACTGCTGCGGAAAAACATAAATATTTAAATTAGCTCAATCAAATTTAATAAAACAATTTTACGATTATAATGAAACGGCCGTTTTTTTAAGCAATTTTATTTCACATTATTCTGAAAGTTAATTTTTAAAACGCGTTTGCGTATTTATAAAATAGAATTATAAAATTTAAAAGCGCCAGTTTTTCCATTGCGGCTGATTCGACGACGCTTTACAATATTTATTAAACGTGGTACCTCTATTTATTTAGGAGTTAGACATAGGCAATTTTTTTAGTTTAGTAATTAGAACTATTTTTTGGTAGTTAACTTACACATCTTTGTCAGCGATTTTAAATAATTTTTCCTTTTAACCCAGAATGCGTTTTACCAAGTCCATGGTCGTTTTAGAGCAAAAACACTTAAAATAAAATCGAAAAATAACAACATTATGGTGACAATGTCGTATCCGAATAACAACGTAAAAAGTTATAGCTCTTTAAAAAAAGTAAAAAATGTGATTTTTAAATGTTAAATAGTAAGTTTATCAAAAAAAGGATATGACATTGTCTCCAAAATCTTGTCATCTTTCGTTTTTGTTATAGTTATTTTTGCTCTAAAATTATCATAGTGAGAGTAAAACACTTTCTGCATAGGTATATTTTAACGCTAGAAAATTGACCTCTTAGTATTATTTTCGAAAATTCTACGGAAACATTATCGCCGTAAACACGAGCGTCGTAGAGAACACTCACCTTGTACATTGTTGTGTTCATAGATATTTGCATAATAGTCATATTATTATTACTATACACCTCGAGTATTATGGGAGATTTCAGTAATCCAAGTCAATTTGATAACTTTTTTCATTTAACGTATAAAGAAAGAATATGTTTTCACGACGACGATATTACTATTACTACGTTCAATGGCGTTGTACCTAACGAAATAATTGCGCTCTCTTCAATGTCGAATAATGAAACACATATCCGTCCGCGTTATCATATTGTACCAAAATTTAATATTAAATAATACATTCGGAACATTATTATGGAATAAAAGCAATTTTCGCCTTGTCGTATGTGGCTTACGTCGTTTCTAAATAATAAAATGTAAGATGTTATTTGAATAGCGTCTCGGTCGTCTCTTTTACGCATCCCGTTAAAATTACAAACGCTAAAACGGGTAAGGTTTACCACGACAAAATAATAACAACAAAAATGTTTTATTTTTTGGATTTTATTAATTTTGTCTTTTCCCCTCGAGCAAAAAACCGTACGATAATCGGACCACCCCGGCGGCTGTAAGCAACATGTGCGCTAATTTAAGGGGTTTGAAGAGTAAAAAAAAAAATATATATATAATAAATGTTTTTTAACCATCGGAACGTGACTACGAACGACCGAATCGAGTTTGCAATTTACGCGCTTGAATATATTAAATCTTTAGACGGTCACGCGGACCGGAAAGAAGTCTTGGATAATGTTCAAACAACAACAGCAGCAGCAACAGTAATATTATCAATCATACAGTGTTAATTACCTATGACGATGGTCGACAATTAAGGTTATTTTTATCGATTGGAAACATTACTTTATGTACTACACACTTATAAACTGTATACACTTTATATATAGCAATAAAAATAAAAATACACAATACAATATAGTTTCCGTTTGTACATACATAAGTTTTAGGATTTAGGTGAATAAAATATGTACGTATATAAAATACAACCGACATAATGCATAGGCCTTTATCTACATGGGTCAAGAAAGCTGATTCCGACTATAATATTATGGCATATGAGATCGCAGGGATACAACAATCAACAATGAGGAGACCAAACGTTAAAACCAACGGGGGAAAAAAAAAGGACCTATATATTTTATTACATATACACGAGAGACCTTCGGTGGACACAATGCCCGTCAATGTTGCGATCGGTAATAATATAATGCGCGTTTTACCTGTACCTACTTCTACCTCCCCATCATTATATTAAATACACGGTGAAAATAAAATGTAGGTAAGAAATAAAATTCCCCAGTGGTTCCAAAATGATACAGTTTTGCCGGGGTTCGATCGCGCGGGGCTACAGTTTCACAATGCATTACATTATTACAAGACAAGCGGTTACAAGACAAGACAAAAGGGTCAGATGTTTTTACATGGAAATCATGCAGACAAAACAATAATGTGACAAATTAAAAACGGGCGATTGAAATATTTTAGCTGCGTTAACGTGAATTTATTTGCATGGGAAATGTTTCAATAGATTCGCAGAAACCGATCGACATCCGCCAAATGACTAATTATTTATCGACTTATGATTATGTTTTATATCATATTACACAAAAAAAAAAAAAAATTGAAACATATCTCGCTTATTCCTATCGGTCACTGGACAATCGTGTTTATGTATTGATGTAAATATTAATATAGTATCTAAGCGCACGCATTGCATTCGAAAAACACGATAACAACGATGACAACAATGTGATTCAGCCTTATTCAGTAAGTAGGTAACATTCAGCAGACTCGGGTGTTTTTAAATTTTAAATATTCAAAATGAATAAGGTTTATCTTTTTTTTCAAACTGCCCACATGGTCGAATCGGTGTAAATAGCCTTCTCAGTCCTTTAGGTTACTGGACCATGCGGCGTCCCGGGATTATATTTAATTCAGGCAAAATTTTCCACTAGGAGAAATAGATGTTGGGTGCGGGTTATTTTTGCCACATAAAACGGGATTTATAGTGTCGACCGAGTATCTTTTTTTTTGGTGTTTTTTTTTTTTTTTAACTCCGGATTTGCTGGCCGGCTTAAGACGATCAAGCAATAAATTCGTAAAACCGCAGGGCGGTATGCCGGGATATAATGTAATAAAATCTCCGAGGCGGGAGGATTTGTAAAAGTTTTCCGGAAACACACTAACCTGATAAGTAGACGAGAAAAGCGCACAGCGGAATCCTCATGGTTGTCGTTTCCGTTGTATGTCTTCTCTAGATGTAAACCATATGAAAACGCACGAAAACAAATGAGATACTAATGAAAATTAAAAAAAAAAAAACGCACAAGCCCGAGTTGTTTTCGGTCGACAACGTTCACCGCATGTTCCCGGATAATTATTTCGTTGTATTGTTGTTGTTAATAATCGTTTTTCAATCCAACTCCACAATCGATCACCCGAAATATGATTTAAAAAAAAAAAAAAAAACTATAAATAAATAATTCTGCGGTCTGCGCGTTCGGACACGAAATCGACTTAACGGAAAACTAAATAATACGTAATAATAAGATATTAGTACAGATAACACCTATATTAGTCGATGGACACGCGAAATCTGTATTGTTATTTATCTAATATTAGTTTCGTAATCTGTTGACAACGCTAACATCGACACTCGGGCGGTGATACACACAAACACACAACGAACACGGGAAGCCACCGGCCGAATGCTGAGCCGGCGGACGCGCGCCACACGAGGACGTGGTGGGGTCGGAGCCGGTTTTTTCTTCTCCAGTCGGAGTGGCCGGAGCAGCCACTGCGGCCGTACCGTGGCGACGCCAAGCGGCCCGTGTTGTAGAACAACAACAATGACAACAACTGTGTACAGCCGAAAATTGCGCCCGAAATAGCAGCAGGTAGTAAAGAAGGTTTACACAAATCGGGCACAAAAGTCAGAACTCCAATTATTTTATTAACACAAATTTTGTTAAAAAAAACAAAAAAATTATCCAGGTCTCCAAACCTATGGGTGCACCGTTAAAAACACCATGTTGTCTTTAGTCAAACTTATTTGTACATTGACGCGCCAGTTGCACAACTGCGACAACTCGAAACTTTATTCGGGTGTAATGATATAAAATTATTTTTGATTAAATGGTAGGACTAAGGTGAAATAAATGCTGTGTTATGCACAATAGTCAATAATATAGCTACATTAGATTACGTTTATGAACTATGATCGTTGTAAAATGGCAAAAAATATGGACACGTATTTGAGTATTTTTTAAGTTGATGCAAACTGAGGCGTCAATTATAATATTTTATGGTTTAGGTACATATAATATACAGATTAGGTAATATAGTACATGCACATGTGTAGATAGATAAAATATATAGATTAGATTTTTATGATAATGATCAGATGATTGAAGTATGATAAAAAGTAGCATGACTATTAGTTTTTTTAAGACAAATATGAATGTAATAAAATAAAATAATTTAAATTAACGTACGTTTTTGGCTGTAGTAAATCGGTTTGTACTCTGCAGATTCATTAATTTTTGCCTTAAATCCCCCTTATATGTACAAAACCATTTTTAAAACAATGACCGAAAAACATTAATTTAAATTCAACACTCACCGATCTTAAATAATAACATATTGAAACACGTGAAGGTGTTAATTTAAATACTAAATTTATATATGTGCGCTGAATCAAAAAATAATTACTTACCATACTTTAAATAATTGGTTAATACAATAAAATATTAATTAATTTCCCAAACCGTTTCATGTTATATGATGGAAGGGAGGTGAAACTGCGCCATAATAATTTTGTAAAATTAAAGTGAAGTTGTTTTAATTGTTATTCTACCTCGATTAACCAAATAAACGTTTGGAAAACCTTTAGGCTATTTGGTACATTTGTTTTATCTGTATTTTAATTTTTCGACTACACTGTTGTGTTTGTTTACTGGATTTATCATAACATAGTTTATTGTTTTTATGCGGGAATTTAAAATCCAATTGACCGCTATAAAAATGTTAGCGTTTGTAAACTTTTCATTTAAAAATTTAGTGTATACCTACTGGTCATATTAACGGTAAAACATATTTTAATTAATTGGAGGTGAGAGGTTATACCAGTTTTATAATTTATTGTTATATGTGTTCTATGTATTTTTCTGTTGTTTTATACATTCATTTATAGTTTTTCTATTTATTTGGATTATCATACTGGCATTAATATGTATATTCGAAATATAGGAGGAGTTTTTGAATAGATAAAAAAAGGGGGTTAGACCAAGTATTTCGACGTTATCCGTGTCGTTTTTTCTCAATATTGTAAAGGTACATTAGTAGTTGCTCGGTAATAAAGGGTCAAGTTTCGTAATGTATCCAACTGTGATATTCCAAAGCGTAGTAATTCGAAAACGTGAATTGAACCATTTTGTGGAATGACGTCAGGTTTAGTTATAGGTGCAAGTACCAAAGAACTAGAGAACAAGAATATTCGGCCCTAAGGGTGGTCCATTGTCAAAGGGTAGTTCAACACGTTCGCCTTTATGGAAGACGAGAGTTAGAACGACAAAATTCGATTGCACATAATTGTTGCACGTTACATTTTACCTCAACATATGATATGTTTGTGTATTGTGTACCCATGTGTTAAATTGGGTATCATAGTTATATATATGTATAGAGAGAGAGAGTACACTCAGTTCTTGTGTTAGGATAGGATAGGATATTCTGTGTTTTGATATATTGTGCGAGAATCGCATCGCAAAACAGATTTTTGACAGATTTTAATTGACTGACGCCAGTTAACGATTATTATGAGTAGAAAATAGTATGTATTTAACAAAAAAAAAATCCAGATGATAGAATTGTAGGGTAGCTTTATTACAAGTGCGCGCTATACACTTGTAATGCAATCAATTTAACATACTAACCATACTCCGGTGGAACCTTCGCAGAAACTAAAACTCCTCTAATTATAAATACCAGGGCTTATAATTTATTTCGTAAAATTGCCCCGTAAAACAACTGGGTATCCGTATATTTTCACTACCCGTTCCAACCCGTACCCCCTTAATACCAACCGATTGACCATCAACGGTTCAATTTTATCCACTATAAAATTATGCGTTACATTCACCTAAAAGCTTATTCGGTTTAATTTATCTAAAATCCGAAAAAGAAGAATCCTATCCACAAAAATATGCACTTTAACATGATTACGTATTTTGGTGACTATAGGACAATGTATTTGTGTTAAATTAATATTTTTGTGCATAGGGTTTTTATTTCTTAAACATAAATCCATCAAGTGACATAAGAGTTGACATTTTATCATAAAATATTTTTTCGTCGATTTACACACGGAAAAAAATACTTACAATTAGTTGGTTCAACTAAAATAATTGTTAATATGGGGGATACAATACATTTCCAGATGGAATAACTAAATTTTTAGTTAAAGCAACTATATATTTAGTCGGGCTAATTATTTTTACTAAATTGTACAAGTTACCCAGCTCATTAGGTATACTATAATATTATTTTAGGCAATAGCACTCCATATCTAAATAAGAAAACCTATAAAACCAATAGCCAATAGCTAGTTAACATATACGTTTAAGTTTTGTGAGAATATAAGTTTTATTATGCTAAAAAATAATGTCGTTATGCGTTCGTATATACATGTATAACGATAATAATATATGTATACTATCATATATTATATATGTTTATGTACACGAGATCCATAGCTAATTATTTCGTTTAGCGTTTTCGGGAGTTTTCATTCGACCGAGCACGTATTCTGCATGATCAAACAGTGTTTACATATTTGGTTTGATTGGTGTTCGGAATGGTTAAAAAGAAATTCGTCGCGCTCGTTATGCACGTACAAAATCAAAAACGTTTTTACAATAAATTTTCCCTCGCTTGCTTGGAATACCTACGTGATTTGTCGTTAATTTGTTTACCTGCGATCACATGTTGTTATAGAGATACCAATAGGCTTTTGGCCCAATCTAAACTATTGCCGAACAGGAACTTCAAGACGTCAGGTAAATCGTTTATTAGTTATTACCCGAGAATATTTGCTTTTTTAATTTCTACAAAACTAGGTATACTACGAATATGAATACGAATTTGAAAACTATATTAAATGATCATAAAAATGCGATTAATGCGATCGAAATGCGGCTATTTAATGAGGTCTACACATTACGTTAAATATTAATTACACATGATTTGGTTTTATGAGCCATGAGGTAATTTTTGTGAGCGCGGTATTAGCAAGTTAATACATACGCACGTTCAATATAAATTGGATAATTTCAATTAAAACGCTATAACATCATAACGTACGACATATCTATGCAGGTTCTAAAGACATTTGTGTCATGGCTACTATTTATATGTATATTAAGTTATATCGGTTCAACGAAATTATTAGCATAGGAGGGGAGAGCTGGAGGGAATGTTGTATACGCTTTTAGTGTTGGTCATAACATTATATTATACTATACATGAGTTTATACCTATGTACATGCATAGAGTTACGACCCAAGAGCAATGCACATTTGCCAACCAACAGCATACGATTTAAGGTTCGTTATACTTTCTAATAGTACTTAGTTTTTTCTGTTTACTTGGCAAGACTTACACTCTACAGGCCAGTTTAAATGGATTTATCTCCTCTACTGCCGGACTTTTTTTTACATTTGTATAAATCAAATTAAAACGCACATCTTGGTTTTATTACACGAGTAGAATTCCAATTTAAAAAAAAACAATGATGATAATATGAGTTAGCAAACCGATAAATGTTAAATAAAATTACCATTCACAAGCATTAATCATATTCATAACTCACAGGAGCATATGAATATTGTCTTGTAACCGTGGAATAATTATTATTATCCGTTATTTTTTATTGATGTACAAAAACGTATTTAAAAAAATAACAATACGATTTTCAATGGCTATTAATAATTAACAAAAAACAGAACAATCAATAAGTTAAAAAGTATTATTTACTGGAAATGCTATTTCAAATACAGAAAATGGTTATAGGATTTTACTGCACTTTAATAATCCGAAATAATATTATTAAATACATTTCTGTTATAATATAACACCGTATTTTACAAAGCTTTTTTTTTACTTACTCTGATAGTCACAATAATAATTAATATAAAATCTAAGATAGTTTAAAGGAAGTTAAACATGTAAAACAGCATGCTTCAATTATTATTAAATGACTAGACAGTTACTCTTACAGAGTATTAAGAAGAAGACTAGACAGATAAAATTCATCGAATAATTGTTAGACAAATCGTAATATTATCTTGGAAATTGACTACGGTCAAACTAAAGTCAATTTACCATTTTTTTGGGGTTTTCCTTAATAATATTCTATTATAATTCAGAAATTAAATTTATTCTTATATCTGACCTGTGTATAAATTTAAAAATATACAAATAAACTTGTATTTTTTTTTTGTCAATAATCGTTTAAGAGCTGTTATCCAACCGGTATTTTTACTCCAATCTTATGTTAATTTTTATAAATTAGAGAAATTTATTTATAATTTCCAATCGCCTGGGCACGTTTCATCGACATCGCTCGATAAGAAAAAAAGACGTCAATAGTAATACTTTAAAACAAAATGTATGCAGGGCGTTTTAAAACGTATGCGTGTTT